GAACGCTTTAAAGCTATTTTAGTTAGGTTTTATTTTTTTTTTTAGTTTTGGGCGGGTTCAGTTGGATGGATGCTGTGTTATCTGTTTAATATGTAGCTATAAACTACCGTTAGTCAATTAAGTTGCCACAATACTTACAACAACAACAACAACATCAACTATCAGCAGCAACAGCAAAATGACCAATAAAATGCGTTTGCGTTGCATTTTTGTACATTATACAACAACAAATCCATAAAATAAATCTTAAAAAAATATATACATATATATATTCATAGTTATAATATTAAATTAATGCAAACAAACAAAAAATAAGAGAATGATAAAAAAATGCAAAACAAAACATACATTTCTGACATTGAATGTTTATATTTAATAATTATTTAAACTTTTCTTTCATAGTCTATAGTCGTTTTTTAAATGCTTAAGCTTAAGATTACTCTCACATAACCTAAAATGAGAACAAAAATTATTATTATATAAACAACGTATTGAACAGAATGAGACACAAAAACAAACAAAACGCAAATGAACTAATCATAATCGCACACAATTTAATAATGTGTTTTTAGTAGATCATTCTCAGCTAAAACAAAAATAAATTGGAAAAAAGTAAACAAAACAATACAAATATAAAAACAAATGCGATACGTGAAACTTGAAATGTGTTTTTATTGTAATTAAAATTGGTTTGAATTTGGAGAATTTCGCGCAATACAGTTGCTGGCGTTGCCACCTGTTAACCTTCTGCATCAACTATTTGCTCGATAGCTGCCAGCTGGCGATCACGATAACCTGTTGCTTTGTCGATTGTCTTGTAGAATGCAACACTGCACCCTTGCAGAATTGCTGATAATTATTATTATTTTTTTATTAAGTTTGTTTTTATAATTTGAACAGTAGTACAAAACATTGCATGGACTTTAAATGGCAGCATACCCGCGTGATGATCAAATGAAATGGTACCACGGCCGCTTAACACGCGAGGCCGCTGACGATTTGCTAAAACAAGGTGCGTACCAGAAAAAAAGACATGTCTATGTGTATGTAGAAGACTCGCCCCAATAGTAAGAAAATTCAATCTTGTTTATTTTATTAATTGTCACAGGTTGCGAGGATGGCACATTTCTGGTGCGGGAGAGTAGCACAGCAGCTGGCGATTTTGTATTGAGTCTGCTCTATCAGGTAAATGACGCACAACAACAGAGCTAAGCTAATATAGGTTTCGCGACTAACAAATACCCTATATGCAAGTCCCTTGCTAAGTACTATATATCAAACATTGATCTAAAATGTATTTAGCCATATTGCTGTATTAAAAAAAGCTTATATTAATTGCTGACGGCTAGACATAAACATTCATACGTAAAAATTTGTCAATATAGCCACTAGTTCTATGTACTGGGTATGACAACAGGTTGTCTTTATGCATGTGAATAATTTATTACACATTTGTTGCAGGGCGAGGTCTGTCACTATCAAATCCGACGTCATGGCGAAGACGCCTTCTTCTCTATCGATGACAAGGGACAAACTAAGATATTGCATGGCTTGGAGACTTTGGTGAAATACTATCAGCAGGAGCCAAATGGACTGATTACGAAGCTGGCGCAACCACTCATTGGCGATCCACCGCCACCTAATACTCGAAGCCAGGGCGTGACAAATCTGCTGCACCGTGCCACCAGCAAGAATGAGAGCAAGGTGGTCATTGAACTACTGAAGTGCGGCAATCGCAACTTCGATGCAAAGAACAAGGATGGCCAGACGGCGTTGCATCTGGCTGCCATCAACTGCAATGAGGGCATACTGAAGTTGCTACTGGATGCGGGCGTCCAAGTGAATAGCTCCGATTCGTTCGGCTGGCAGCCTCTGCATGTAAGTATGGCATTATAATCCCAATACGCCACTAAACTATTGTCTACTCTTGCAGTATGCTTGTCGCAAAAAGGATGCCAGCTTCATACGTACCTTGATTGCCGCAAATGCGAACGTGCAGTGCCGCAACATTGAGAACGGCCATGTGCCGTTACATGAGGCTGCCAAGTATGGCAATCTGGAAGCGGTGCAGGAGCTGCTGGCCGCACATGCTCCACTGCTGCCACGGACCAGCGCTGGCGAGTTTCCTTTCGATTTGGCCAAGGAGGCGGAACAGACGGCAGTCGAGCAATTTCTGCTTAATTACAAGCTGCCGCCAGCTAACACGAGTCGCGAGCTGTGGTATCATGGCACCTTGAAGCGCGACGAGGCAGTGGCCATACTCAAGAACTATGCCCAACAGCATGCGCGTGAGAAGCAGGCTGCCACTGATCAGCCGCTGGACACTTCCGGCTATTTTCTGGTGCGTTACTCTGAATCGCCGGCAGCATCGGGCTATGTCTTAACGTTGCTCGGCGATCAGGTGGTCAAAAACTTTCTCATCTCACAAGCGGATCTCTATCAGAACGGCAACAAGCTGACCTCGAACGGGGTAAGCAATTAGATTTACTATTTAATTAGAATTATCTAATGAATTCTCCATTTGTTTGGCAGTCAAAATACATGTACATAGATGATGGCCCCTATTGGCCCAGCTTGGAGCACTTGGTGGCGCATTATATGCGTTTCTCTTACGGCCTGCCCGTGAGCCTAAAATATCCTGTGCCACCGCAGCCCAAGCCGGAGCTGCCATCGTTTGCTACCATACCACGTCCCAAACACAAGTTACGTGAAAATCCACCAATCAGTCCCCTTCCTAGCAGCTCCAGCAAGCTCCCGCCTGCCTTGACCATAACAAAGAAGAAGCAGAAAGAGAACAGCAGCTCCATGTTCAATACGCTGCGCATCGTAAGCCCTAAGAAGAGTCTCTTCGACATGAACAGTCTGCGCAAGAGCAAAACGAAGAACAAGCGCAGCGATTCGGAGAGCAGCGTCAGCCTGGTGGCTGCAGCCGAGGAACTGCAGGCGGCAGTCCCCATGCTAAAGAATCTCTCCTTCTCAACGGATTTCAGCAATTTCAATGTGGATGCGGGCGATGTGTACAATGTGCCGCGGAACAATACGCCAATCGATCTGCCACCCATTGCCAACAAGACTGAGGACGAGGTGGAGTACTACACCAAGAGCGATGTGGCCATTGAGAGGGAACGTCTCGCTGAACTAACATCCAATGGCTATTTGCCTACCACAGATGTGCACATGCTATTGGACCAGGAGGTCAAACAATTGGATGGCAAACATATGTTACGCTTGGACTCCATGATATCCACTGGCTCCACGGAGAGTGAAATGGCCAGCTATCTGCAGCGCAAGTGCAGCGGAGCCGCAGCTGGAACAATTGGATTAAGCAGTGCGGAACTGGAGGCAGCCAAGCAACGGTTCCTTATAAACCGTGACCAGCTGGAGCTAGAGAGTGAGATCGGTGCTGGCGAATTTGGTTCCGTCTACAAGGGTTGGCTACGACAAGCGAATGGCCATCGTCTGGAGGTGGCAATCAAGACACTGCGCGACGAGGAGCAACAGGCGATCAACAAGCAAGAGTTTCTGCGCGAAGCGTCTGTGATGATGCGACTGGCGCACAAGTGCATTGTGCGTCTAATTGGCATCTCGAAGGGCGAGATGCTGATGATGGTGCAAGAACTGGCACCACTGGGCTCCATGCTGCAGTACATTCTGGATCACAGTACCGAAGTCAAGGTTAACTACGAGCTGAAGCTGTGGGCCTCGCAAATAGCCTGCGGTAAGTGTGTTCCATTTGCTCTCTTTCTCTGTTTACTTATTTCGCATGATTGATTATACTCTTCTAATCTTCCAGGCATGCATTATCTGGAGACGCAGCATTTTGTGCATCGCGATTTGGCCGCCAGGAACATATTGCTGACCTCCAGACAGCAGGCCAAGATCAGCGACTTTGGCATGTCGCGTTCCTTGAGTGCGGGCAGCGATGAATATCATTTCACTCAAGGGGGACGCTGGCCGATCCGCTGGTATGCGCCAGAGAGCTTCAACAATGGCATTTTCTCGCATGCGAGCGATGTTTGGTCCTTTGGTGTCACATTGTGGGAGATGTTTGCTTTGGGCGCACCGCCCTACGGGGACATATCCAATGTGGATGCCATCAAGCTGGTGGACAGCGGACAGCGCTTGCCACAGCCAAAAATCTGTCCGGCGTACATCTATGCGGTAATGCAAAGCTGCTGGAACTATCATCCCAGAGAGCGGCCCACCTTCGCCTATCTAAAGGAGTTCTTCAATCGTGGTCCCGAGTATCAGAATCTTCCAGAGCTGGTCCAATCGGTGCATATCTAGACATCAGCTTTACTCTATATATAATTTCCTTCAAACTGTGCAATTTCTTTTACACCTACTACATGTATTCATCTCTCTAACGTATTATTTTACTCTTCTGCTCGCTTCTTTCCAAACATATCCTGACCGATATACTAAGAGCAGCCTCTATATACATACATGCATCTGTATAACTACTTGTACCATATATAACATATATGTATATTTTTAAATGTATTTTACATATTTGTAAACAATTTGTGTCAAATAGCGAACAAGTGCCTTACATTATATTATAACAATTATCCATTATGCAAATGATTTTTATACATAAATAAGACTTATTGGATTTCGGTTCTTAGCAGCGTCTTCTTCCACAACAGTCCCTTTACATGACCTAATTTAACAGCAAGCTGTAAAGAAACTGTTAAGTAATTCCTTGAATACCCCTTTACATGCTCTAATTTAACAGAAATCTGTACAGAAAGCATTTTGTAAAGCCGGCTGAAAATATGCAATAGTTTTATATTTGTTTCATATAACACATTTATTACAAATCATTCAATACAAAATATATTATATTATATATGTACCTTAAAAGCTACATAAATGAAGCTTATTAAGCTCATCATGTAGATAAAGCAACATTGTAAATTGATTGGATATTGAATATTCGTTCAATTACTTCAGCTATATTAGTTGACGGCCCGAAAGTAATTGCCGTTCTCTTTAAATACATTTGATTTAGAGCATTTATTGCAAATTGATATAAAATGTGTTGAATATTTATAGAAGTTGTTAATGTGCTTACGTGCTATGTTAGTTCAGGTATTTAGATCAGTTATAGATCATAATGTGTATATAAAGCAAAGTTGCAACTATATAATAAAAAGGCCAAAAACAAAGGCATCAAATGTATGGGATTAGCAGATCAAATATCAAATCGAGCCGTTCATCGCCTGCTGCACATTCGAGGTGGAGACCAACTTGAGGGCGTCCATGATGCCGTTCAGGTTCTGCTCATTGTATGCCTGGCCCTGGAGCGGAGTAACCACCGGGACCAGCTGTTCGCTTTGCGGCAACTGAAGAGAGATTTTAGTCATCAGACCCTGCAGGAGAAGGAGAACAATGCCTTAGAAACTTGGAAAGTATTGAAGCAATTGCAGATAATGTCTTACAGCTTCCACTTCGACATTTAGCTTGAGCTTCATGCCACTCTCATTGCCCTTCAGCTCGAGCTCCTTCTCGACAGTAAACTTCGGTGTCTTGCCAATGACCCAATCCCATGAGCTAAAGTTGGCACGCAACTCGTTGATGCCGGGGAACCATTTCTCTGTGGGATTGATCAGCTGAAAGCCACGCTGGTTCATTGTCTGCGTGCTGCCGCCATCCTCCAGGGACGTTGCTGCGGTCCGCAAATACTCATAGCCCACGGCCGAGAGCAGCTGCTGCACATTCACGTTCCGATTCACATCGGCCAGATTGCGTATGGGCGATGGCACCGATGCCGTGGCGCGGCTAATATAATTGACCTTCTCCTTAACCAGCGACTCGCTCAGATGCAACTTGTTGGCCGTGGCCAAAATGGTGCAATGATGATAAGCATTGGGACGACCCAATTTTGCAGCCGTGCCCGAAATCTGAAAAATAATAAAAAATAATTTTGATGACTGCAAATTAATTTCGAATAGATAAGCCTCAAAATTAGTAAAATTGATAGTACGTTGGCAGGCGTAGATTGAACGCCCTTGCAGATTGAGTTTGATAGATTGTTGCTATAGCAACTATAATATATATGATATAAAATATAGTATATATATGAAGTCTATGTAGTCTGTCAATCATACAAAAACAATATACACTTATACAAATATGCAATTTTGGGTCGACTCTGCCTACAAAGGTAATCTAAAGAGCTTCAGCTTATCCTCTTTTAGATAAACTCAAATATAATGCGGAATTTTTAAATTAATATAATAAAAAATAAATATCTAAAATAATTTCTTGTCTTCGTAGAAAAGACAAAGCACAGACCTAAGTTACATACATAATTGAAAAGAAAGAAAGAATTCGATATAGTATATGTATGTATATATGAATTTGGCTACGACTGTCCATACGAAAACGGAGCATACATATGAATATATACATATGTGTGTATATTTGACTTTCTGCAGCAAGGGTAAAGAAGAGCGAAAAAATGCTGAACTTTTCATATTGTATGGAAAATTTGCGAAATATTTTCGTTATCTTCGCCGCGATCAAGCTATTCAAAGCTATTCTAAGCCGGGTTGAACTGCGGGCCAGGACTGGCCAGATGTTTGTTTGTCAATTGAGCTGATAAGAGTGTGAGCTGCGTAGATTTGGCCACATGTCTAACCTTTTTGTTGGCGATAACAATATCATCGCGATCGTTGATCTCCGCCTTGATGGCCCACTCGCGGAACAGCGAGCGCGTCACAATGTTCAGATTGTATTTGCGATCGTAGCGCTCGCGGGGCGTAAAAAACGTGCAGTTGAGGTTACCCGGATCATGGTAGACCGCGCCGCCGCCGCTGTTGCGACGTGCGAGCGTAATGCCGCGTTCCATTAGCCTGGAGACGTTCGCCTCGGTGAAGGGATTCTGATGACGGCCAATGACGACGCATGGCTGATTGGCCCACAGCAGCAAGACATGATGATGGCTAAAGTCAAAGTTCCTATAGAGCCAATCCTCGAGAGCTAGATTCGTGTAAATGTCATTCGATTGGGAGATGAAAACAGATTTCTTGATATCAGCATCGGCCACAGCTGCGACCCTTTTGCCAGTCGACGACGATGTTTTTGTTGCAGTCGTTGGTGTTGGTGTTGTTGTTGTTGTAGTAGTAGTAGATGTAGTAGATGCAGTTGTATTGTTATCTGAGGCGAGCCGCGTGATTTCGGTTGACGTTGCGCCCAGGCGCTGCAGCAAGCGCAGCTGGCTCGAATTACGACGCAGTAATATGCTCATTTTAAATATGTAATTTAACAATCAGCCACAAAACGGGAACAGCTGTTACTTTTCTTCTCTTTTCCTTTGCTGTGCTCGTCTTTTATTATTTTTATTGCACAACTCGATGCAGCGCTGTGTTATTGTTGTTGCCGTCGCTCTTCTTACAAGGAAGCTTATGGGCTCTGTTGCTATGCCGCTCTCACTCGCTCTTGCTCTCTGTCTCTTTTGCAATCAGACAACGGCAATGCACTTGCTTACTATTTGCGTTCGCTGTTACAACAACAAGGTCACCGTCAGTCGCTAATTGATATGTTGTTATTGTAGCTGTTTTTTTTTTTCGCTGTTTTAACTGCCGCTGTTCTGCTTCTTCTTTTTGTTAGGTTAAATTGAATTTTAAAGTCTATATGTTGTCTATGGCTAGGTGTGTGCGTATTAATTATTATCTGTAGCGTTTCTATTTTAGCTTATTTTTTCTTTGTTGCTTTTTTTTTGTCGCTCAGCACGCTGTTTTTTCGAATTCCTTCTTTTGGTTTATTGCTTTTTATTATATATATATTTTTTTCTTGATTTTGGCCGTTTGTTATTTTGAACTTTAGAGCGCGCTGGCTGGGACCTGGGTATCTGCTGCCACAGAGCTAGCGGAGATGAGGTATTCGTGCAGGGCGGGCGTCTGGTGAAGCCACTTCCAGGTTTGATGCAATCCGCAGACACGCTTACGAAGACCCAAACAGTCCTTGTTGTTGCACCAGTTCACTTGCATACTACGCTTTACACCCATCCAAGAATGAACGGTCTAAACAGTCGACAGGAATTTAGGCCAACCTCTGGCCAATCAATGAACACGCACTTCTGCTACGCAATAAGCCCAACAATATACAAAAGTTATAGCAAATCGGTGGATACCGCCTTGAAAATTGAAAAAATTTTCCACTCGAATGTTTGTACTATGCGGGGGATGAAGCGAACGAACGCGGTGTAACACAAAACAAACACTGACACAAAGACTGTTCAGGCAACGGTAAATGTTGTACGCAGCAGTCACGTCTGATTCTCATTGGCGCAAGATAAGCACTGACAAACCTATTGGAATGGCAATTTCGAGCACCAGGCACAACAGCTGTCTAGCTAACAGATATGCTCCACACTTAACAGAAAGCTTTTCACAATGGTCTTGTAACATTGTACAATTTAAATATCAATACTAACGTTGAATTTGGCAACACATTTGGAAATTCTTGTAATTTAATTAACTTTACCAAAATTTATACAAAACATATGATGGCTAGGTTTGCTTGTGAATGTCAAAACAGCTGTCAAGCATACAAGCAATACATTACGATGTGTTTACAAGGCTTTACTATTACAATTTATTTTAAGCAGCGCTTCGAGAACCATTTCAGTTGGGTATTCCGCCATTGTTGATGTACTCTGCCTCCAAGGGATCGATCGGCTTGCGGGCGAAGCGCGCAGGCAATTCCCAATCCTCAATTGCTGGTCCTCCAGAAGTCTGTAGGATTTTTAATGAAATATTAGGAACCAAATCTAGAACTCTCTATGCATATCGTGCATCGCCTTATGTAGTTAATGGGCTACATAGTTAACCTTTTTGGCTCCGGAATCCTTTGAACTTGCCTGTTGACTTGCCGCTGGTTTGTTGGTCAAAGCTGAACCTCCCTTCCGAAATTGGATGAGAGGCACACGTTTTGTCAGCTGGACTATATTTAAACGCACCATTTTTAAAATACAATTATTTAAAATCGGTTTTGTTTAATAGACAGTAATATGCCGAGCGAGAGTTACGTCAAAACAGCTGACTGTAAATCCTAAAGCAAAGTTGCCACACCGTTTTATAGTAGAACCATTCACACCGAGCGATAACAAGCGAACGAAACATTGCCACTCACAGGTCTGCAGCGCAGAAAAACAAATTTTTGTTTGTTATTTGATAATTGTGGAAAAAGTTGTGAGAAAATTATCTTCAAGCTGGCCAGCGCAATGAACGTCGCAGCCGGCGGCACCAGCGCAGCTGCAGGCAGCGCCTCAAACAACAATGCACTGCCCATGGCTCAGCTAGCCGATGGGTGGTTAGAGCTAGAATCAGATCCGGGTCTCTTTACGCTGCTCTTAGAAGATTTTGGCTGTAAGTAAATTCAATTGACAGGCTCAGTATACTATATATACTTATTGCAGGTCACGACGTACAAGTCGAAGAGGTATATGACTTACAAAAGCCTATAGAAAGTCCATACGGCTTCATTTTTCTTTTTCGCTGGATCGAAGAGCGTCGCGCACGCCGAAAAATTGTAGAGACAACAGCCGAGATATTTGTCAAGGATGAGGAAGCCATCTCAAGCATCTTCTTTGCCCAGCAGGTGGTGCCCAATAGTTGTGCTACCCATGCTTTGCTCTCTGTGCTGCTCAACTGCAACGAAAACAATCTGCAGCTGGGCGAAACGTTGAGTCGCCTCAAGGCTCACACTAAGGGCATGAGCCCGGAGAACAAGGGTTTGGCCATTGGCAATACACCAGAATTGGCATGCGCCCACAACTCGCATGCCATGCCCCAAGCGCGTCGTCGTCTGGAACGTACAGGTGCTGGTGTGGCCAGTTGTCGATTTACAGGGGAAGCATTTCATTTTGTTAGCTTTGTGCCCATCAATGGGCAGCTGTTCGAGCTGGATGGTCTGAAGCCGTATCCAATGAATCATGGCTGCTGGGAGGAGCATGAGGATTGGACAGACAAGTTCCGTCGCGTAATGGCTGACCGTTTGGGCATCGCGACTGGTGAGCAAGACATTCGCTTTAATCTGATGGCCGTTGTGCCCGATCGTCGCATCGCCATCACCCATAAGCTAAAGATGTTACGCACCAATCAAGCCATTGTGTCGGGCACGCTGCAGAAGCTGCTCAAAGCGGATGAGCAGGGCGACGATCAGCAGCGTCCGGATACGCCCAATACGCTGCTAGAGCCGAGTGCCTTTACAGCACGCGACCTGCAATCACTGCTCAAGAACCTTGATACGGAAATCGCGATCAATGAGCAGCATTTAGCTGATGAGAACGATCGGCGGCAAATGTTCAAAGTGGACGCCAGTCGTCGCACCCACAACTATGACAAATTCATCTGCACTTTTCTCTCCATGCTGGCACACCAGGGCGTGCTCGGCGAGCTAGTCAGCCAGCATTTGCTGCCCACCAAGAAGATAAGTGGACAGAGCGCCGCGAATCGACTCAGCAAACAGAGCAGCGCCGCCACAGCTAATACGGCAAATAGCGCTGCGAATGCCACAGCAGGAAAATCCCAGCCGCAACAACAGCAGCAACAGCAACAACAGCAGCCACAATCGCAAGCGGCGAAGAATGGAAAGTCACCTGGAAAGACACCGGGTCGTAGACGAAAGGGTCGAAATAAGTGCAGAAAGCGCAAGTGATTCGCATTAGGATAAACTAATCTAAACTATATATATATGTTATATATAAATTTTATATATTCACTAAAAATTGTCTAAACTAGAACTTTTATATATTTAGTGAAATCTTTCATGGTTCCATTAAAATTCTTCCACGAGGAAGATGTCCTAGTTGTGAAGTAAGGCAGAATAGCATATTACTTCTAATGCAGCTATCAAAATTTTTATCGACTTATTACTATTTAATTTGCGTCACTAGAAATGTAACTAATGTTAGTAAGTTGATAAATAAAATCTCAACTTCTTTCTTCGACTCAATTGTTTTCTTTTTTTTCTTCGGTTGTAATAAATAATTAAATAAATTGCCAATAATGACATGTTCATCAAAATTAAAAACATATCTTTAAGAAGTTGTATATGACTATACACCTAATTTATTTAATTAGCTAAAATTGGTTATTATTTACATCTAAATTTCCGATTGCTGTATTTTTGGTTTCTGTTTTATTTGATCTTTTTTTCTTTTTTAATAATAAAAAAACATTTTTTGTTCATGTATTTAAATGTTTCAAGTACGAAAATGTACGAGTGTGTGTATGTGTGACATATGTGTATGTATATATATATATTTCTATATATCTATATGGTAATTATATAACAGAAAAAAGAACCATTTCCATATGCTTCGGCGCAAACTTAAATTATGTAAATATTTGTTGTTCAACAAAACAAAAACAATGCACTCTAGCTATAGATATATATTTAATAATATATATATAATGTATAGTTTTTTATGTTTTCATGTGTATTATGTTTTTATAAACTATGAAAATAAGGCAAATGTTTAACAAAAGTTTTGTTTTTATAAAGCTGGTGATGATTAGGAGGATGTAGTGTTTCATGTTCTTTTTTTCTTTTTGATAGACTAAAGCTAAAATGTTTTTCAAGCCTTTTATCTGCTAAGGATATGGCCGTACATGGTTTATATATATGTATAGTTAAATTTAACTTTTCATATGTGAGCAGTACAAGAGCAGCCTTTAGAAAACAATCATACAGAATTACGCTTTATTTTATTATGTTCTTAACTTTTTATACTACTTTTTTCTCCCTCCTTTAGTTTTTGTTTTCTTTTGTATATCTTTGTAGGATTATCCATTTAGGTTCTTTTTTGGAAGTAAAAACACTTTGTTGTTGCGAATTTTGCTCAGTCCACGAAATAAAATGAAATATTGAGAAACTAACATGCTGGACAACAGAGTTGACAATTTTGTGACTTCTATGTTGAATGTGTATGTGTTTTTTTTTCTTTTTTTGTTCTTTTGTTTTTCATTTATGTAAATTGTGAATGCTCGTTGTGTACATTCATATCTGTTGCTTTTTATCTGTCTGCATTCAACTTGAAACCGTCGTGGTCGAATCCTCGCTTCCATTTGTAAGCTGCGTGGCTGTGGCTCCTTCCACTTCTGAACCTTCCTTAGGCTGTTCAGTGTCATTGTAGTTGATAGCAGCCACAAAGGTTTTGAGAGCAGCGGTTACCTCATTGTCGTCGTTTGGGCCACTCTCGTCGCTCGTCTTCAAATGCTTTTCGATCTGGCTACGCACCTTTACAATATCCTTTTGACTGCACATTGAGAGGGAGATCAATATAAATATTAAGCATATTAAATAATATGAATTATATGCAATCAATTGCCCACCTGATGTGCACAAAGAGTATACCATTGATTGTGTTCAGCATTTCCAGTACAGAGCCCATTGAGGGCGGCGTTATGTGTATGGGTGGCAGGTCGCTTGTCAGCTTGCCATTGGAGTAGATGTCGTTCATCTTGCGCTGCAGGGCAACAGCCTCGTGTGTCAATAGACGCAGGCACTCGGCCGACTCACGTGTCTTGTCGTGCTTCTCGCCAAGCTATAAAAATGAAAAGCCGGAGAGAGTTAGTCAAACTGACCATTGCATCAACGCAATGCATCACATTAATTGGCTTGCCTGTGACTTGTAAATGGAGTAGGTCTCCTTTTCGTTGTTCAATGCTGAGCGAAAATCGCCCATGCAGGATTGAATACGCGCCATCAGATGATAGCTGACGGCCACGTGCATTGCTTTGTTGCCGAAGTACTTCAGATTCAGCTTCAGAGCATGCTCAATGAAACGCAATGAGAGCTCATATTCGCCCAGCGCGTGCAGGATCAAACTTATGTTGCTCTGTGCAGAGAGAGAAATAAACAAAGTTAAAGATAAACTGCGGTGCCTGCTAAGTTCGCCCACTCACATCGATGAGCGCCACCTCGGGATGATCCTCGCCGCAAACCAGAACCAGCAGATAGCGTGCGCGATACAGCAGCTTCAGCGACATGCCCACATGTCCATTGGCGAAGGAGTAGAGCGACAAATGTGTCTGCAGAGAGAAAAGAAACATGCATTTAACATATATACATATCTCATTATATAGCTAATCTGTCTTACGTATTCCAGTATAGTTGATGGGTGATCAATGCCATTGACGCGCTCGCTCATGATGACTGCGCGCTGTTGTATGGCCAACGCATCCTGAGCATCGCCAAGCAGGTAACTCAGCCGTGCCAGCATACGCAGACAGGAGCCATTCTCCTGATGCATAGCTCCGAAAACGTTGTTCAGCAAATTGAGCGCCTCGCTAATCAATTCGT